TTTTTTGAGACAGGGTCTCCCTGTAGCCCCAGCTGTCCTGGAACTCACTATGTAGACCAGACTGGCCTTGAACTCACAGAGATCCATCTGCCTCTGCCTCCCGAGTGCTGGGATTAAAGGCATGTGCCACCACGCCCGGCTTTGTCTTTTTGTTTTTTGAACTCTGTGTAGACCAAGATGACATGGAACTCATAGAGATCTACCTGCCTCTGCCTCCTGAGTGCTGGGATTAAAGAAATGTGCTATCATGCCCACCTCAAGAAGTATATTCTTCCAAAGCTGCTTAGAAGATCCAACAGAGCTGAGAAAATTTTGCAGAGCTGAGGACTGAACTCGGGTCAGGGGCATGCTAGGTAACTGTTACCTCTGAGCTATGTCCTCAGCCCAGCCGGTATTGTCTTTTAATGACTACTAAGTTTAACTAGATGGCAGTACACTAAAGTGGTGAAAACAACTGACACTTAGCACTGACACTTAATTAGTACATGACCTTGGGAAACTGGTTAACCTTTCTTTCCTTCGTCTGGAAAATGGGACTTGCTGTGAAATGCCATAACGGCCATTGCCTTCTTGACTTTTCAGGACTTGTCATTACCTGGAGACCCCACACAAGACTGGGTCCACTACTGCTCCCTCATGGAAGGGAGGAAAGGCTCCCAAGGTAGCCACAAGATATATAAGGGGTTAATGGTTGCCTGGGTTGACGGTGACTTTTCTTTGGTGGTTTAGCTGCTCATAAGCTTCTCATATGCCTGTAAGTAACTCCAGATAAAATCATTTATTTGCAAAGCTCGACTTGAGTAGAACAGCTTCTTCAGTCTGTTGTTGCTGCCTTTCTGGGGTAAGCAGATGTTTGTTCATGTCACCCTAGGTTCTGATAGCATCTAGACCCATAAGGTTGTGAGGATCAATGAGTCAGTGCAAATCAGAAAGTAGGAGAAATATAGTAAGTATTCAATAAATGTTAGCCATTTAGAGGGTCAAAGTTGGCTGGTGAGACAGCTCAGCAGGAAATGGAGCCTGTTATTAAACCTGACAACCCGAGTTTAGTTCCTGGATTCCAGAAAGCAAGAGAGAACTGATTCCATGCATGTTGTCTTCTGGCCTCCAAATGCAAACTGTAGTGCGTGCCATCTCCCTCCCTCCCAAAAACTGAAATGAAAACAGAGGGTCAAAGTCCACTAAGAATTTTTTTAGGAGTTGGAAAGATGGGGCAGTGGGTAAAGATGTTTCTCACTAAACTTGACCTGAGTTTGATCCTTAGAACCCACATGTGGAAGGAGAGAACCAACTCTACAAAGCTACCCTCTTATTTCCACATATATGTCATGGCTTATGTACATACACATAGACACATACATACACATATAAAATACACAAGGGTAATATATTTTAAAAAGATTTTTTTAAAATTATAAAACTGATATCATATATTGTATATTTCAGAAAATGTTTGTCTTTTATTGATCCAAATTGTTCTTATGTTTATGAGAAGTATATGAGAAATACATTTTATTGAGGCTATGAACATCTTATTTTTGTTACTAATTAAACCTCCCAAACAGTTATTTCTTTTAAAAAAATACTTTAAATTATTTTTTTTGTATATGAGTGTTCTGCCTGAAGGAATGTAAGTGTACCCATGTTATGCAATGCCCTTAGAGGCCAGAAGGTAGCACTGGAGCCCCTGGAACTGGACTTATGGGTGGTTACTAAGAGCCATGTAGGTGCTGGGGACTGAACCCAGTCCTCTGTAACTCATGAGAGAGCACCCAGAACTCTTCATTGTCAAGCTGTCTCTCCAGCCCCCATCAAACGTGAATTTTTTAAAAGACTAATTTCTACTTACAGATTTAGAAGATGGTGGATTTGAGTGGTTACTCTTGGCTTTTAGATAAGGCCTATGAAAGACAAAATAAAATTAATCCTTCATATAGAAAGATCAGCAAGAAAAGTATAGTGATTAAAAATTATGAGTAGAATCTCAAACCAATAGAATTTCTGTATTGGGTAAAATAACTCAAATTTAAATTTAATACAAAGTATCCTCACTATCCCTTCCTTGGCCTTGTATTCCCTTTCTCCAAGACCACAGCTGCTCTTACTCAATTTTTTTGTGATTATTTTGGAGATATCTTGTGCATAAATGTATAGTATTCTAACATTAATGAAATACATGTGGCCTCTTCACATTTGCCAACTTATTTAAGCATCAATCCTTTGTGCCAGACATTAGAGATAAAACAACTAACTGTTTCTTTATGAAACTTCTTTAGTATATGTAACTTTAGGAAAATTTTCAGGAGGAAAAAGTGATAATATAATCAACTCTCAATATCCATGGGTTCCATAGTTGTGGTTTTAGCCGATTTAAAACTATATGAAAAACAGAAACCTAGACCAGCTTTACATACTTAATAAGAAAACAACCAAGGCACACCAATAATATAAACAGAAGCACACAAAGGAAGGCCTGAGTTTCCTACCAGAATCACAAACAACAAAAGAAATCCACATGCCAAATCACGACGGATAAATAATATTATGGAAAATAGTATGTTCCCACAAAATTCCACCACTCTTATAGAAGAGTTCTACAAGGAGAAACCCGTAGAGATAACCCAGGACACTGAATTAAAAAGAACAATCATAAACATCAAGGAATTCAACAAATTTGAAGAACACACAAAGAAACAAATCAAAGAACTAAAAGAAGATCAGGAAAAACGTCTGACTGAATTCACAAAAGAGATAAAAATATTGAAGAAAACTCAGGCTGAAATGAAGGAAGTGAAAAACTCAATAAGCCAATTTGAAACAACAAGAGAAAGCCTCACCACTAGAATGAATTAAATGGAAAACAGAATATCAACACTGGAGGATAAAGTTGAAGAATTGGGCCGTACTCATGATCAAAGGCTTGTTGGCCTGTTTGTGGGTTTTTTGTTGTTGTTGTTTGTTTGTTTTTTGAGACAGGGTCTCCCTGTAGCTCCAGCTGGCATGGAACTTGTTGGCCTTGAACTCACAGAGCTCTGCCTGCCTCTGGCTTCCAAGTGCTGGGATCAAAGGCATGGGCCACCATGCCCGACTTGAAAAAACTTTTTTTAAAAACAGGAATGGAATATGCAGAAAATGTGGGACACCATGAAAACACCAAATCTATGCATCATAGGCATAGAGGAAGGAGAATAATTTCAGGTTTATGGCATTGACCAGATCTTAAAACAGGATTATAGAAGAAAATTTCCCCAAATTAAGGAAATTTCCCCATACAAATACAAGAAGCACATAGAACACCAAATAGGACCAGAAAAGAAACTCCTCATGGCATATCATGGTAAAAGCACTAAATGTAGAGAACAATGAGAGAATACTGAAAGCTGCAAAAACAAACAAACAAAGAAACAAACCAACCAACCAACCAACCAACCAACCAAGTCACATATAAAGGAAAACCCATCAGAATTGCAGCTGACTTTTCAATGCAAACTATGAAAGCCAGAAGAGCCTGGACCAAAGTATTCCCAGTTCTAAATGGTCATAGATGCCAACTCAGATTACTTTACCCAGCAAAAATGACTATTATAGTTGAAGGGGAAAGAAAAATCTTCCACAACATGAATAGGCTGAAGGAATTCTTGTCCAAAAACCCAGTCTTTCAAAGAATACTTGAAGCAATATAAAGAATGGAGAAAGGAACAACTATACCCCAGGGGCCACAGAAACTAAATGAAGGTATAATTGTAGAAACACAAAATTAGACAAAGAATGCAAACAGTAATCAAAATGATGGCAACCAATACATATCTTTCAATGATAACTTTAAATATCAATGGACTGAACTCCCCAGTCAAAAGACAAAGACTAAGTGAATAGATTTAAAAAACAAAATTCATCCTTTTGTTGTCCGCAAGAAACCCATCTCATCTTTAAGGACATGCGCTACCTTAAAGTAAAAGGATGGAAAAGAATATTCTAAGCAAATGGCACTAAGAAACAAGCAGGGTTGCAATTCTAATATCTGACAAAATTCAAACTAAAACTAAAACTAAAAGATAAAGAGGGCCACTTCATTCTGATCAAAGGAACAATTAACCAAGAAGACATCACAATAATGAACATATATGCAGCAAACTCCAGTGCACCCAAATTCATAAAAACAATACTATAGGACTTTAAGACACAGATTAACCCCAACTCCCTAATAGTAGGGGACTTTAATACCCCATATCTCCATTAGACAGGTCAACCAGACAAAGAATAAACAGAGAGACATGTGAATTAAACGATAACATACATCAAATGGACCTAACAGACATCTACCAAATAGTCCACCCACGCACCAAAGATTATACTTTCTATTCAGTACCCCAAGAACTTTCTCAAAAACTGATGGCATACAGGAGCACAAAACAAACCTCAGCAAACACAAAAAATTGAAATAATTCCATGCATTCTATCAGACCACAATGCAATAAAGCTTAAAATCGACACCAGAAGAAGCCCTAGTAACTACACAAACTCGTGATAAAACAACACAGATGGATTTACAGCAGAATTCTACTAGACATTTAAAGAAGATCTGCAACTAGTGCTACTTAAATTATTAAAAAAAAATGGAAAGAGGGAGAACACCCAAATTCCTTCTATGAAACCAGCATCACTCTAACACCAAAACCAGATAAAGAAACAACCAAAAAAGAAAACTACAGACCCATATCCTTAATGAACACAGGTGCAAAAATTCTCAACAAAATACTTGCAAATCTGCATATAGACACATATCAAAAAGAGCAATTTCAGCTACCTGATATTTGACAAAGGGGCCAACAATATTCACTGGAGGAAAGACAGCATGTTCAGCAAATGGTGCTGGCAAAACTGGATCGCCACCTGTAGAAGAATGAAACTAAACCCCTTTCACCCTGAACAAAAGTCAATTCCAAATGGATCAAAGACCTCAATGTAAAGCCTGAAACTCTGAAACTATTAGAAGAAAACATTGGCCAAAACCTACAAGATATAGGTGTAGGAAAGGATTTTCTAAGCCAAACATCAATTGCCCAGGAAACAAGGTCAGAAACCAACAAATGGGACATCAGTAAACTAAAAAGCTTCTGTACATCAAAGGAGGCAACCAAGGAAGTGAAGAGAAAACCCACAGAATGGG